CTAATGGGTTCACCGACTTCTGAACTCATAGCCGACGCGGTGCTAAAGTGGTTGGAGTCACTGGTCTTCAAAAACCACAGACCGAAATTCTGGGCGCGGAAGAGGATCTACGTCCTCTTCGAACGGGATGAGGTGCTCATGCTCAAGGAACGTCTCAACAGCGTCTTCCAAGACATAAAATTTACGATGCAAGAGGAAAAGAACAACCAGCTGGCCTTCTTTGATGTCCTCGTTTGTCGCAAAGATTGTGGTGGCCTAAAAACCAAAGTATTCAGGAAAGCGACAAATAGGATACAAGTACTGAACTTCAACATCAACCGCCTAATCAGCCTTAAATACAGTTGCGTAAGGACGCTTTATCAGCATATTGAGACGCACTGCAGTGAACCAGAAGACAAAGTTGCCGAAATACCATATCTTCGACGGGTGTTCAGAGAAAATGGCTACCCACGCAACTTCGTCAACCGATGCTTGCGCAAACGAGATGGGCAACAAAATCGCACAAACGAGGATATCAAAGAAGGCCAGCTGATTGTTCTTCTCCTCTTGCATTGTAAATAGTATGTCCTGGAAGACGCTGTTGAGACGTTCCTTGAACATGAGCACCTGATCCCGTTCGAAGAGGACGTAGATCCTCTTCCGTGCCCAGAATTTCGGTCTGTGTTTTTGGAAGACCAGCGAATCCAACCGCTTTAGGACCACGTCGGGTATGAGTCCAGAAATCGGTGAACCCATTATTGTTCCCTTCACCTGCTCGGAGATTGTTCCGTCAAATGTGGAGTGTGTCCTGAGACAGAACTTCAGAAGCTGTCGGATTTGGGTATGTCCGAGGTGATTTTCCGTCTCATCGCATTTACTTCGTGGGAGTAGTTCGACAGTCTCGACTGCCATATCCATCCCACAGGTTCCGGCCACACATTAAAATTTAATGAGGCCGAAATTCTCGCAAGAAGTGATAATCGTGTGAGCCGAGAATTACTTGAGTCATGGTTCACGGGTCCCCAGTCCATTAACAAGTGCAACGACTTGCCCAATCCATATTCGCTGATGAAGTTCAGTTTGTCCAAAGCAAGTCGCCATTCGGGGAACGCACAGGCCACCGCGACGTCTTACGCCAACACCGGGAAACCAGATGGCCGAGCAATCATCACACCCAATTCCACCACGCGTGATGCAAGTTCAGCAGGTCAGGGCCCGCATGCCGGTCAGTAAGCAGGTAACGCACAAGGGGGCAATTGTCGTTAATTGTCGTTGTCATAGTTTTCAGTAATGACTGTATCCTATAAATACTGCAACTTCCTGTGTATGTATCACCCGCTTCTGCCACTGTTTTCTGCTGATATCTCTGCTGAAGAATCCGCGACGGATGTCGAACCGTCAGGTGAATAAAATTGTTGTCCTAGCGATCGAATCTTCTTCTTCGCAACTACGCAGTTTCTCCACAGTAGCTTAGGGCTATCCGCTCAAATATTAATATCAACCCTCAGACCAAGCTTGAAAAAATTTGTTCGGAAGGCTTGACATCAAGCTCTGAATTAGTTTACTCGGAAATCAAACAAGTTAATATCGTAGTGGGTTAATTTAATAAGGGAAGGCCCTTACCGCTGCGACCTTCGGGCCGGGTTCCTTGTGGGAAGAGAAGTGGAACGCCAGGTGGGAGGAAAAGTATATTCTGTACAAAGCTAGTGGAGAAGGACGAAGGCGAAGTTTTGATAAGATTCGCATACTGATAATAAAGTGGATAGTAAGGCCGGCAAAGAAAAGGGAGACTGGAACGACCATTTCTGGCTTATTAGCCGTCGTCAGTCAGTCATACCCAGCCTCAAGTGGTGTACCACCTGAGGCTCGAACTCGTGACCTTTTTGATCACAGTCTAACGTTCTAACCATTGAGTCACGAGCTCTTTGTCTTACCGGTTTAGGTCGATAGCTATTGACACTCGTTGATGAACGTTTGCCGACCGCCAACGGAACTCACTTGTCCTGCTCGGTCATGGGCCTCATTCGTGGGCCCCTGACAGTAGCTGTAGCAGCTAGTAGTATAGGCAGATAGGATTGCCAACCAGAAAGTGCCATTCCAGTCTCCTTTGCCTTTACCGGCAGTGCACATCTACCTACACTACTAGGCGCTGTGCGGCTGCTGGCGGGGATCGAAAGTAAGCCCCAAAACAAAACGGGGCAATTGAGTTCCGTTAACGACCGGTGAACGTTCATCACCGAGTGAGAATAATGTATTTATGCCCAGAACTTGCTTTCCTGCTTTTCCATCTATCCGTCGAGCTAAAACAACTGTAATCACCACAGGAATGCATCGGAAAACCTGCGATTGGGTTTTAATTCGATGCAGTCATTGACGCTCCTTTTTGCCTGGTATATACTTACACAGAAGTTTTTGGAGGACCCATTTTCCGAAAGCCGGTCGGGATTCCGTTTGCCGCCATATGTACTTCTTTCTACTGCCAACTGTGAAGTCACGTTCAGAACATGCTGACTTTGGTCGGCTCCCAAACTGACCGTGTTGTGGGTCAACACACACTGCTCCAAATTTTGGATCTGCTGCACCAAGTTGAGGGCTGCCGTTAAATCATTCACCAGTTCAGATAGGGGGGGGGAGCAGTTTTGGCCAATTTCCAGGTTTTTGGGTTGTCCTTCCGGTTGTGAGGCCTCCATTGAGTACCTGTATTTAGTGCACCCGAAAGCCACCGTGTTTTAGCACGATAAAGCGCTTCTCAGAGAAGGCGATTTATTGTCCAACTGCGTTGAAGCCGAAGTTTTTAATCTTTGCGCAGTGAAACCTAGGCTCGGTTTTCTCATATGAATGCGAGCCTAGAGATTGGTTTGCAAGCCTTGTTGGCTTTTTTTGTTGATCCTTAATCGGGAAGCGGACATGCAGTAGATTACCTATCTCAAGCAAAATTCTGAAATTCGTTTTAGAGGCCCTAACTCATGCAACATGCTGAAGTTTTAGAACGATTGATAATCACTAGAAAACCGGCATTAAAGCATGTACGAAAACTCTAAAAGAATAATGAACAATCTCAAGCTAATTTAAAATTTAAAAGAAATATAAAAAGTGAGAATTGTTTGTTTAGTAATACCAACTTTTCATGGAAGCCTCGAGTTCCGAAAACATAAAAAAGCTATAAATTTGATCAGTAAATGTTGATTTTGCTTTTAAATGTCAAATGAAATCGTTACCATGCCAGTTTCTTTATCGCACACGAAATTTCATTTCGTCAACTTTCTTTATAGATATTTAGGTATTAAAGTACAATTAATTTCATATCGTCCTTTAAATTTCCGCATTTTTTCCACGAATTTCAGCGGTTTCAAGCTTACTTCAAGAAATGTAGATTCTATTCGGCGTTTATATCAAAGCCTTTAAAAAAGATATTTCTTAAAAACATTAACTGAAAACATTCTACAATGGGTCACTTCTTTAGAAAGCACTTTAGATAGATATTTAGGTGACTTATATCTGTGTATGATATATTTTTCCAGGGTAACATCGAAATTAAATCTGAGAATTTCATAACAGTTTTCAATTTGCCTGAAAATAGATGCTACATTTTTGACTGGTTATAAAATGACTTTCTTTACTTTTTATATTGGAGCATTTTTTATCATATTCGATTGTTTAGATCCCGTTCTAAGATTACAAAAAAAGAGCGGTCGAATGTCTACTACAATTTGCGTTAGCTGTTAACTTTCCTCTTGTTTGGTTTCTAAATGACGCATAAGCGGAAACTACATTGTACAAAAAGTATCTTTCCGCATGTTTTAAATTTAAAAAGATTATCCATTTACGCGGTAAAGTACATGCATTTTTGTTTACGACACCAAATCCTCAATGCGGCAAAACAAAGTACGGTTAAAACATTTTGTGACAAAGCTTCAGACATTGGCAAACAAAAGTTTTGAAAACTGAAGCTGGCCGTCGTTTCTGAAAAACAATGCGATTCCTTAAGATTGCATTCACCTGATTTTCATCAACTTAAGACTAGATTTTCTTGTTCTGGAAGGGATATGTTTTAAAGGTTTATTACGTACATTGCTTTTCTCCTATAGCACAACCCACAAAAACAAAAGGTTTGGTTCTACCATTTTAAAATTGCACAAGAACTTTGTTCCATATGAGGCAACTCCCGATTTTGCCAAAATTCTATCTTTTTTCCTTAAATAAACTGAGTTATACATACAATTTCCCTTAGTAAAAGGCTTTCGGAGGATCAATTGCACCAAAAAGATCAAAATTAATGGACCAAATTCATGTTAAACTACCAACTCTAATTTGATTATAACTTTGCATGAGTTAGGTTACCTACTGCACACACTAGATGACTATCGGGCACACTTAATTAGGGTTTGAATCCAACCAAAGCCAAATCAATCCATATATTCGTCGTTAATACGGTGCGACTTGATAAGCTGTTTCCGAATTCTCAATACATAGCTCTTCATGCAGCTGAGTCTTGTACGCATTCTCGAATACAGACTAACTCCTTGATGTATGATCTGATATAAAAAACGGGAAAGCTGTTTGCACTCCATGTTCCAGTTGTAAAATCAATAAGATAGACGATAGCTAAAGAGGCCTAAATAACTGTTCGCGACAAGGAGCGCATTACGAGGAGAACCAACAGGACACTCAATAAGAGTAATCGGGAAGACCCATAGCTAGTGAATTTACTCCGATGAGGACACCCAGAGCCACAAGCGGAGAAGGCTTCCATGCATTATCATGTATCTTCCTTTGGAAGGTCCTAATAGAAAACTAACATTTATTGAATTTGTTTCTTTTCCCCGTCGCGAATTTAAATTTGTATCGACTTCGGGAAAATCTTCTTATCCAAATCCGTTTCGTACTCGATTAACCAATTACAACACGAACACGAGTACAGGGCAGGATTTCAAGGTTAACCAGCGACCAGTCATTTGTTGGCCTTTAAATAACCTCCTAGACGAACTACGATTCGCGCTTCAGTAATAGTAGGAGGAAGATGTACGCATTTTTTTTGTTTTTGGATGCTGTGATATGTGGCTATTCTTTCCTCACCTTCTCCGAGTCGACTCTCTGTGGGCAAGCTATACTCGCATCAGGGGATAAATCACGTGGTAGGCAAACCTCCCATTCCCAAGGTATGACAGGCAACTAAGGAGGCCTAGCAAGCTTTTAGGGACAGAAGGCACGTGACGATGAGAGAAAATAAGAATTTTGCCGGCCTGGTCGTTTTCTTTTGCCACTCGCACTCAAACAACCGAAATCCCCAGGAGAAATATATTTCTAAGGGAAAGACCGTCTTGTGGGCTCAAATACAAAAAAAATGGAAGACCAATACAAATGCACTGAACGAACGATAGCAACTCCTCGAAAATCTCCCTAGATGAGATTCGTGATTAAACTGACACGTTCTCGCAAACTGACTGATCGAGCTGTCAGGAAAAGTACCACTGGCAAAAGACGATGCTTTATGAATTGAAAGGGCGAAGGCAGCCCTCGTGAAATGCTGTCACTTTTCCGTGTATCGCAGTGCCATTACGATGTCAAAGTATTTCCTGTCTGACGCTAATTTCGAGTGCATACTGATATTGACAGCCGAAGGGCTGCCACGTAAGTCCTTAACATACATTTTCGGTATTAGTTAGGCCACACTTTCGAGATTATTAATTATAATTAATTATTATAGTTTGCTTTAGCAGACTATAGAAAACAGGATGACGAATTTATTTGTCGCACACCAAAATATAGCATCTTGTGCCACTTAGAACTATTCACAGCGAACATTTAGCAGCGTTCTTGCGGCGTATGATTAGAAAAAGGGTGCAGGCAGTAGACCTTCATCAGCGGACGGCTATGGTGAAACCATGTGATAACCTACTATATGGATCACCACGCTCGTGTTCGCTTTGCATAACTACCTGCTTATTTATTAGTAGTAGGCATGTTTTGTTATACTACTTTGGTTTCGGCTGTGCTATTCACCGCAAAAGTTCGACATAGTCCATCCACGTATTACATTGCATCCTCCACAGAAATCTTTAGTGACATGCGGCTACTTTTTATAAGCTAGGTTGTGCCATTCAACACAAAAGCAGAAAATAGTCCATCTGCATATTATATTGCATCACTCAAGGAAATCTTTAGTGACAGAACGGAAGAAAGGTACAGAAATACGCAAGCCGCCGTCGCATCAACCACGATAATGGCGCAGGGAACATGAGCGACGCGGATCCGCCATTGGTCGATAGCAAAAAAGTCGGAGTCAACCAGCGGTCACCAGGCAGGCGAACGCACGTGCCGTGAGCACAGGTATAACACCAGGCTGGCGTCGAAGCGATTTCACTCAAGGCCCACGGAAGAGTAAGCACGGTACTCTGACGACGGAAAAGAGTGTCAGTCAAAATATATCTCGGTCCTCTTCGGGAGATGATACACAAGACAGAAACAAGTACATATTTTCTATCATTATACAGTGAAGTTCTTAGCGCAGTTAGATTCATAAAATATCGTCGATGCTATTAACAGTCTCCCAAGCGTTATTGTACTACTACTGTTTGTAAAGGGCTTTTTTCAGGAGGTCATGTGCCTGCTTTCTGGTTGAAAAATGACATTCAAATGTCCGATCCGATTTGCGCTCGAAAAGGATATCTTTCGTGTTCGAATCGCTCGCAGTTTTTTGAACCCTTCGAGTCCGAATTGTCGCAAATTGTTTTCTGATTGTTTTTCAATTATCGAGAGCTTGTTATTTGTATATATTAGCCTATTTTAGCAAATTTATTTACCATTTCCTGATTGGTTTACTATATTCATTATTTTCCCTTCTGCACCCCCGTAATGCCCCACCCATGTAACCCTTATTATTACTGGTCCCTATTACAGAATTTTTGTGTTTTGCTTTCCGTGTTGATGCATATAATAGATTGTCACCGGATCTATTTTAAAGTAGGTAACTAATCAAAGACCGTTTTCTATTTGCCCAGGAATATATTAATCAGATGCTTTCATCTTTGAAGAGCATTTATTTTTGTGATTAAAACCTATTTTTAGATAAGCCTCTGAAGTCGGCTCAGGTGATCATATGTGGGAAGGACATCACCGAGAACACCCGGTGTCGACAACAACTTTCAAGAACTGTCAACGGATCCGGTGCTCGACCTTCCTTCTTCCTCAAGCATGCAACTACCTGGAACTCGAACGTTCTCATTCAGCCACGAATATAATCTACTTTTTTAGCCTACAGCCAGCATTTTGGCCTGCAAGGCATTTTTATTCCTGTCAACAGCCCTGACCCCAATCTCATCAAAAATCTGTTTGCGGTAGTAAAGAGCAAGAAACACAGTTTAATGGAGCAAAATTGAGAATATGTTTTTCATGATTATGCAGACCAAACCACCATTGCCAATACAAGCGAACGTGACCAACGATCACATCTACTTCTCAAACCATCATTGACAAGTTATTACTCTCTGTGTCTTCCCGACTTGCAGCAGTTCTACACACTAAAGCACAGCCAACGAAATATCACTACGCAGTATCTATATTGTTTCTGATTATCTTGTAAGTTAGTCATATTTTCCTTCACTGCTCTTAGTTATGGTATGCCTTGAATAACTAGCCATCCATGCGGTCGTTTTTTGCTTTGATTGTTATCAATGAAATAGATAAGTGC